GTCAGTTAAATGTCTGCCTTCTTTGGCTCAGGTCATAATTTCTGATCCTGGGATGGAGCCCTGCATCAGGCTGCTTCTTTCCGTAGGAAGCCTGCTTCTCTCCCACCTCTGCCCCTCCCTCTGCTTCTGCCCCCGCCAATAAATAAATAAATAAATAAATAAATAAAAATCTTTTTTTAAAAAGCAAAGTTTAATAAGAGACAAAAACATTATATATTCCTAAAGGGATCAATCCAACAAGAAGATAAATATCTACGTACCCAACATGGGGCTCCTAAACATATAAAGCAAATATTAGCAAACATAAAGGGAGAAACTGACAGTAATACAGTAACGGCAGGGGACTTTAACACTCCACTTACACCAATGGACAGATCATTTAGACAGAAATATCAGTAAGGAAACACTGGCCTAAATGACCCATTAGACCAGATGAACTTCATAGATATTGATAGGATTTAACATCCCAAGGCAGAAGAGTACACATTCTTTTCAAGTCCACATGGAACATTTTCCAGGCTAGATCATACATTAAGCCACAAACCAAGTCTTAATAAATTTAAGGATTAAAAGCATATAAAAACATCTTTCAAACCCCAATGGTATGAAACTATAAATCAATCACAAGAAGAAAACTGGAAGAAACACAAACACATGGAGGCTAAACAAGCTATTGAACAACCCACAGGTCAATGGAAAAAATCGAAGAGGAAATCAAAATATGCCTTGAGACAAATGAAAGGTAAACACAATAGTCCAAAATCTAAAGGACACAGCAAAAGCAGTTCTATGACAGAATTTTAGAGTGAGACAGGTCTACCACAAGAAGCAAGCATCTACCCTCACCCTTAAAGGAATAGGAAAAAAACAAAGTCCAAAGTTAGTGGAAGGAAGATAATAATAAAGATGAGAGCAGAAATAAATGAAATACAGCCAAATCTAAGGTATTGTGGGCATGTTTCAAGACCACTCTAATAAAGTGAGTTTCAATAAAGTGAATCAAATGAATTTTTTTGGTTTCCTAGGGCATATAAAAATCATGTTTTTATATACGCTGTTGTCCATTAAGTGTGTAATAGCATTATGTCTTAAAAAAAACCCCAATGTATGTACCTTAATTAAAAATACTTTATTGCTGGGGGGCACCTGGGTGGCTCAGTGGGTTAAAGCCTCTGCCTTCGGCTCAGGTCGTGATCTCAGGGTCCTGGGATCGAGCCCCGCATCGAGCTCTCTGCTCAGCAGGGGGCCTGCTTCCTCCTCTCTCTCTGCCTGCCTCTCTGACTACTTGTGATCTCTCTGTCTCTGTCAAATAAATAAATAAAATCTTTAAAAAAATACTTTATTGCTAAAAAATGCTGACCATTGTGAATTTGTGAGTTATAATCACTGGTCATAGATCACCATAACAAACATAATAATGAACAAGTCTGAAATATTGCAAGAATTACCAAAGTGTGACAGACACACGAAGTCATTAGCAAATGCTGTTGGAAAAATGTTGCGGACAGACTTGCTTGAGTCAGAATTACCACAAACCTTAATTTGTAAAAAAATGCAGTGTCTGCAAAGCACAATAAAATGAGGTATGGCTGTAGTTAGTAATATATAACAAGTTTGAATGGTGACAAATAGTAGCTAGATTTAACGTGGTGACTGATTTGTAATACACATGAATGTTCAATCATTAGATTGTACACCTGAAACTAACATATTATTGTATGTCAATTACACTTCAATTAAAAAAAGTAAATTGTTTAGGGTAAACAATTATGTAACTATAGTTATTTTAAGAATATGGCAAAAACCATGAAGGTATTAAGAAAGATGACAACATGTGGGAGAACTACCATAGTAACAGGCGGGAACCCAGAGTGGACACATGCCACGATTCTTTGATTTAGGGTTATAGCCTAAGGTAATGAGGGAGACTGCTTTCAGAATCTCTAGCTTGCAAATTCTCCACTGGACATTGCAATAGGTGTGTCAGCACTGACTCAGGAGTCAAGCTAGAGTCTGGTCAAGCTGGCGGTTGGACCCCCAGAACTCATCTGGCATGAGTAAGCAGCATGCACATTCAGATATCTTGGTGTAATCATAAGAAATACCAAACATGAACAGAGCAGGAACAAGGGTCAGATCCCATGGCCAGATTCAAGGTGAAAGCCAAACCAGCAGGAACTACCTAAGAGAGAGGGCACCTAGCCCAGGAACTATGTGTGGTAGGTCTGGATTCACTCTCCTTCAGCCATATAGGCATGTGGGCCTGGATTCTGATACTGCTTCCACCTTCAGGCAATTAATTCTCAATTTAGTACCTCTACACAAGGCTCCAAGAGAGAGGATAGCTTTCTTTTGTGCACATCTAAAGAGCCAATGGGTCTCTACCTACCATCTCCCTTTCTAAGCAAACTGAAGCCAGCTGTTGCTGCCATCATGAAAGGAGCCTTTCTCTGAGCCTCCAACATTAAGTTCCCCCTTCTGGTGCTGGGGTGAAGGGAAGGGTATCCCTGTCATCCTGGATTGGAACAGAGAATGAATTTTCCCATAGAAAAAAATGTCATATGGAGAAGATAGGTTTTGATGGATTAGCACAAATAGCATTTCATATATATTCCAGGTTATAGAGAATTCTGCAAGCTAGATGGGGCCACTTCAGTGGGAAAAGTTTTAATGCTATAAAATGAAAACTCAGGTTGTAATTGTTCTGTAAGTAGTGACCAGCTATACTTAGAAATACTGCAAATTCCTTACTAGTGAATGCTTAATACTACGTATCTTAAATTTTACTTTTAACATCTTTCAGGAGAATACTGGTTGTCTCATCAAGAGTGGCTGTGTTCAAGTCTTATCCTATTGAAAAATAACGGACCACTCTCCTCCCATTACAAAAGAAGGGCTCAATCTTTGTATTTGAGGACAATTCTAGACATATAAATGTAATTCTAATAGACATTTCTCTCATCAGCTCTCAGCTAAATGAACTTATTTATGGGATGAACTAGAATGACTATCCTCTGACTTCCACCCTGCTTATTTCCTGTTCTGACCATATTCCTTAAATTTTTTTTAAAGGTTTTATTTATTTACTTATTTGAGAGAGAGAGCACACGCGGGTGCATGCCCTCGAGCAGGCAAGTGGTGGGGAGCAGAGGGAGAGGGATAAGCAGACTCCCAGCCAAGCGGGGAGCCGGCCGCGGAGCTTGAAGTCATGACCTGAGTCCAAATTAAGAGTCGGACGCTCAACTGACCAAGCCGCCCAGGCACCCCTGACCATAATCCTATAAACTCATGTTTTCTACACTTGTCTGATGAAAAGAATTACATGACGTGCTTTTTAAAAGCAAGAATGCCTGGCTCCATCCCAGTAATGAATCAGAATCTCTAAGGGAGAGGTCTGGAGTTGCACATTCGAAGTCTGCTCATCTCTGGTGATCCTGTCATCCAACCCAGTGGTTCTTGCCCTGGAGGGTGAATTAGCATCACCTTAAGGGCTTGTTCAAACACAGGTTGCTGAGCTCCAGCCCAAGAAGTTCTGATGAGGTGGGTGGGCTGGGGGAGGTGGGAATTTGATTTCTACCAAGGTCTTTAGAGATGCTCCAAACCACTTGTTTGGCAAACACTAAAGCTGAAATCAACATTTTTTCCCTCCCTTCTTGGTACAGAAACAACACTGGGTTAAAACGCACAAGCTTCATTTGGGGCAATACCCCTGCTTTTTAGCTGCTTGATGTTGGACAAATAAATCTGTCCCTGCACCTCTGCTATCTTCCACGGTGAGGCATAAAAAGTAACAGAAGTGAAGAGGTTTGGTACTGTACTTGGCACAGAGTAGGCCAGAAACAAACATCTATGTACTCTGATTTCTTGGGCATGATCCCCTCCTGTGAGCTGCATTTACAAAAATGCTGAGTTCTAAAAATAGGTCCCAAAATTTATGACATGCACCAAACTTCATTTGGTTAAAACAAAGCACAGACAGACAGGCGAGTAATGGCCGACCAGTTCTTTTCCTTGTGAGCTACCATGTAACTAACATTTTGAATGTAACATGTACAAAAGGAATATACTCAGCTTTCCAGCTCCCATTTCCCATGGAAACAAAAATAGAAAACAAGGAGCTAATAGATTACGATTAGGTTCTCTGCTTCATTTTTGATTTGCTGAATTTAGTACCCATGTAAGGATTATTTTCTGGGCAGGTCTTTATTATATTGTTTGCCTATTTCTTGTGACCTAAAAATCAAACAAATGAATCACAGGTTCTCAGAGTCAGAGGTTCCTGGAGGTCCTCTAGCCCACCCACCTACCCTATTAATGCCACTGAGACACCTCCCATGTGTGGTAGTCCAATTTCTTCTTGGGACACCCAGTGAGAATGCAATATTTTCACAAACCCCTATCTTCTCTTCAGATAACAGTCCAATGTTAGATTTTTCCCTCGTCTGAGCAAAAACCTTTACTTCTGTCATTTCTCTATCCCTGGTCCCGGTTTTGCTCTGTTGTGCCTGAGTATGTCTAATCTCTCCTCATTCCGACAGCATTTTCAGTATTCTGAAGTAGTGCTAACATCTTCCTTGCCTTGTCCTTTTCATCCTGAACATTCTGTGTAAGCCACTACTCTCACCATCAAAATTTCCATACACGTAATAGCCCTGGTCCTTCTCCTGTGGACAAGGTCCACCTTGAGGATATTTCTAGATCCTATCATCAGCAACAAACGTAAGTTGTAAGAACAATGGCATGTTTCTTTCCAAACAGAGTTTTCAAGAGCTGGAAGCTAGAGTCCTACAAAAGTCTCAGTCCTACACTGTTCAGGACTGAGAAAGCATTTCCAGGACAGGCTTGGACGTGGCAGCCCAAAGCAGGGGGATCAAAATATCTGTGTATCTGTATATATCATGACTTTACTTGCAAAAGAAATGCTATGCTGACACTTAAATTATCGAAGACCCAAAAAGTCTTTCCAAGGAAGACAGAAGAAAACGAAAGGAATTTCTTACTTTCTACGAAACATTTCTGCAAATATGCAGCCAACACTCCAGAGGTCCACGGGGGTGGCGTAGCTGGACTGAAGCAGGACTTCTGGAGCTCTGTACCACAGCGTGACGACCTGCAAAGGCAAATGGATTGGAGTGTTACTGAGGGAGACAGCTGGTTGCTTCAACTTCTCATCTCAGCCGGTTTAATGCCAGCTCAGCAAGGTGGCTGGCATCATATGGGGACACTGAGATAGAAGCCGTTAAGTAACTCAGATTCATTGCTGACAGGCCAGGAAATGACATCATCCCCACAACCTGGGTTCCCAGCTCAGACTCTGTTTCTTACGAGGATGGTCAAACAACCGAGTTTTAGGAAGCAAAGCAAAGACTTAAAAAAAACAAAACCCACGGATCTTAATGCTGTTATTTTTTTTCTGAAGGGGCCTAAAAAAACAATACATGGAGAACAGGTGTCAGCAAGGATTCCAGCTCAGTTCCTACGTCAGCATTATTGGGAAATCTGAAGAGGATTCCAGTGATTGCTGGGTGTTGACCTTCAAGTATAAAGAGCACCCAGGACAAGTCAAAACTACTCTTATCATGAGACTGTGGGGAATCAAAATAAAGCCCCCTTCAATGCCACTCTTTTCAGAAAACAAATTAAGAAACCAAGAACTTGAGAATGTGTAACTCAATTGTCTACACCAATGTGTAAAAAGGTCATCCAGAGGATAGGATTCCTCAACAGGAAGAACCTCACTTAATACAAGAGTAGTGTCCACTGCTGTGGCTCTATCTGCAAGGCTGAGAGGTCGGGAAACAGACCGGAGCCCCTATAAGGGGTTCAAGTGCTTCTCTTTTGGGGACACAGAGATTCTACAGATGGCTGAAATAAAGGAATATTCTTTGCTGTCACACAAGGAATTCAGTAATTAATCTACTATATAAGCATTTTATATTATTCAGATTCCCTTTATCCTTACTTACTATTTGGTCTAATTGTACTTTTGTGGACATCTATCGAAATTTCCTACAATTCTCCTTTATGTATTTTGACGTTGTAGTACTTGGTGCATTCAGATCGCAGTTGCAATTCTCCAGAACATGATTGCCATCTGTTTCCTTCCTTCCTTACAGACACATGCTACCCCTCCCAGCAAGAGACGGAGGCTGGGGCGCCTTGGGGGCTCAGCTGGGGGAAGAGCTAGGTTCTTGGTTTTGGCTCAGATCATAATCTCATGGTCGTGAGACTGAACCCCAGGTCGGGCTCTGTGCTCAGCGTGGAGTCCGCTTCAGATTTCCTCTCCCTCTCCCTCCCGCTCTCTCTCTCAAATAAATAAATTTTAAAAATCGTGTTTAAAAAAAAAAAGGAGAGAGAGAGAGAGAGAGAGAGAGAGAGAATTTAAGTCACCTTCTGTTGAAAATGAGTTGGTCTTAGTGAGTTGGTTGCCTAAACTAACATAATGTATCTGAGACCACCAAAACTAGGTCAGAAGAAGCCTAGTAGTTTGGGCCACCTTCTTTAAGATTTTATTTTTAAGTACACTCTACACCCAATGTGGGGCTTGAACTCACAACCCCGAGACCAAGAGTCGCACACTCCACTGACAGAGCCAGCCAGGTGCCCCATAGTCTTGCTTTTGAATGCTCGCTTTTGAGACGCTTCCTCTGGAATCTAAGTATCATGTGGTAAGAAGCCCACAAAGATGTTCCAGAGGACAGCCCCAGCTAATTCTCAGCTGAAAGCCATGCAAGTGAGCCATCTTGGACATTCAAGTTGGACTGATCCCCCACACGACTGTAGTCCGCCCACCCCTGCCAATGTCACAAGGAGCAGAAGGGCCCAGCTGAGTCCAGTCAACTCACAGGATCATAAATGGCAATAAAGTGACTGTTGTTTTAAGTTTGGGCTAGATTATACAGCAATATCTAAATGAAAGAAGATTCTTGACTGGTTCCTCCTCTTCATCTCATTTAATAGGTTTTGTTTTGAATTCACACAAGAGATCAAATTTTGTGTAATGGATATCTGGTTGATATCTAATAGAGGAATGGTGGTGATGTAACAGAATTATAAAATTGTAAAAAAAGAAGCAAACAAAAACCAAATAACCGAACAGTTTCACTCAGTTATCACTGGCTCCAATATATCTTTCCAAAAGCATATCCTGCAGTATCTCCATAACCCTTCTAGCCTTGTTATATACTAGACCACAGCACTGGGTATCCACTCTGACTCTGCATCAGAATCATCCACTGGGATTGTAGAAAAAAATGTGTCTAGGGGCCCTTAGGTCGATCAGTCGGTTAAGCAACTGACTCTTGATTTTGGCTCAGGTAATGATCTCAAGGTCACGGGATAGAACCCTGTGTTGGGGTCCCCACTCAGTAGGGAGCCTACTTGAGATTCTCTCCCTCTCCCTGCTCTTGCTTTCTCTCTCTAAAATAAATAAATCTAGAAAGAAAGAACGAACGAACGAACGGACGAACATACGTCTTGCCCTTATCTCTCCCTCACTGAATTAGATCTCCATGGTGAGGGGCCTGGAGTTCTTCCTTTACTTTTTTATTTCTTTTCTCTCTCTCTTTCCTTTTTTTAAAACAAAGTTCTTCAGGTAACACTAACCCTTGGCTAGGTCTGAGCACCACTCAATGATATAAATAAACCCTCCAGCTCCTGTCTCCATGCTTTAGTTGGCACTGTTCTCATCTGGGAAGCTCTTCCTTCTCCTCTCCACATTTGGAGAGGAGAATTCTACTCCAAATTCTACTTATCCTACAAAGCCTAGCTCTGATGCCATCACCTCCCTGAACTCACGGACATCTGAAAATCATATCCTGCAACATAGTTCATAATATGGATCGTTACAGGCTGCATGGACCCAACTTTATCCAAGGCTATGTCTGTAAATACCCAATACAATATCACTCACATAAAAACTGGGTTTTAGCAAACACCAAATTGACAAATTGACAATTTTAAGGCAATCACTGCTAGAAGATAACCAGGCAAAATTCAATTATCAGTCATCCCCCAGAAAGAAGGTACTTACTACATTCACTAAAAAGAGCATCCAGTTCTGGGCTCTAGTTTTTACTTCCTTATTATTTTTCTATGCTTTGTCAAACTCTGGAAGAGAACTGAAATTTTGTTTTCCTTCTCCCAGAATCTCCTTGTATTTCTAAGGGTTTCTCTCCTGTACACATTGGTCTTATTTGGGTAAATAATACTTATGACAGCAAAAATATTATTAAGATATAATAAATTAGATGATGATGGACATAAGATATAAATACACAAATCCTATATGTCAGTTATAAAATATAATGTAAAAAGGATAACATTCACAAAACATTCAAAGATTTAAAAAAGCAAAATCTATATAAATAAAATGACATACTATTGTTGAAGAATTTAAAAACTAAATAAATGAGGGCACCTGGGTGGCTCAGTGGTTTAAAGCCTCTGCCTTCAGCTCGGGTCATGATCTCAGGGTCTTGGGACTGAGCCCGCATCGGGCTCTCTGCTCGGAGGCGAGCCTGCTTCCTCCTCTCTCCCTCTCTGCCTGCCTGCCTACTTGTGGTCTCTCTCTTTGTCAAATAAATAAATAAAATCTTAAAAAAAAAAACCTAAATAAATGAGACAGACTATGACTAAGATGGAAAAAACATAAAGATAATTGTCATTCCTATATTAACAAAGTTTAAGACAATGCAGTGATTTGGGGGAGGAATTTAACTTCTGACAATATGGGGCTTCTGGCAGAATAATGCTTTAAGAAGAGCCAAAAATAGTTTGAGAAATAAGGATGAAGAGGCTCTGCTCTCTGTTACCAAAACATACTCTAAGGTACAAAAAACAAAATAGTAGGTGCCAGCAGGTTAAAAAGAAAGTCCAGAAGAGAATGATCTATTTATGGGGTTTAACATTCTTACAGGTGCTGAATGTCATCTCAATGAGAGAAAAAATGTACTACAGGCCCAGACAACTGGCCTTCCATTTGGAAGAAAGTAAGTTTGATCCCTACTTTACACCATGTATTTTACACCACGTATAAAAAGACACTGTATATTCATACAAAATCTAAGTGTACAAAGCAGAGCTAGAAAAAAATGTATTACAGGAAAACAGAAGAGGACCTTGGGATATGGAGGCCTTTTTCAGCATGAAGGGAAATCTAGAAGCTTGAGATGAAAAGATTAACGGATCCCACTAGTTCAGACTGCAGTTCTCTTTGGCAAACACTATAAAACAAAGACAAAGACAAATAACCACCTGGGATGAAACACCTAAAACAAATTACATAAATAAAACAACAGAAAAACGGATGAAGAGTATAAAGATAGCTGACAAAAAGAAGCATGCTATCAAAGATACGTCACTTCATTGAAAGAAAGCAAGGAATAAAGGCAGAAAGTCATCAAAATAAAGGGTTATCCTTTTTGCCTGATCAGTAAAAGTGAACAGAATGACACTATTCCCGTTGGCCATGGTATGGGGAAACTGTTTCCAACCACAAACCGGCTCAACCTCTTTAGAGGACAACTTGACGGTATTTACAAGATGAATAGCACCGATGTCACCGAACCAGAGTTCCACTTGCAGGAATGTATCTGAAATACTCAGTCTAGTACACAAAGAGGTATTCACAAGGATGTTTCACCCACAATAATTTCCAATAGGGGACTCTTATTTGGCCATCAAGCCATCAGAAAGGATGAGCTGCTTCTCATTCCTACTCATCTGTGCTCCCATAGAAAGACATCTGTGATACACTGTTAAGTGAATAAATACGTTCTGGAACAGTGGGAAATATATTCTAATTTTTATTAACAGATTATGTGGGTGTAATACCATAATCATATCCGCATATAGGAATGTCAGCCAGGGCTCTCTCCGTGGACGTGAAGCTTTCAATGAGTGGCTGCTACAAAAACACGGCAAAGCAGGAGGTGGAACATGGAAAGGAAAAGGGGCTGGAGGATTTCAGGGCACAAGATCAGGCAGCTGCTGTCAGTAAGCACATTTTATAGCTGAGAACACTGAATTTCAGAGGGGCTGAGTCATTTGGCCAGAAACACTGAGCTGAGATGTGGAGGAGCTGGGATTCTCACCAGGACTGTCTGCTTT